ATATCTGGGCATGCTGTATAATTAAACTGCACTGTGATATTGTGCAGCTGCTCACTCATTCAAATCCCATACACCAACATACACACAACAAAACATATATATTATATATAATTACAGATACATAGCAGTGAAAGACTGCTTTTAATGCCTTTGAGAGTGTACAAACATTTGAAACATTTGCTTCTCAGTGTTGAGTGACTGCATGAGGAGAGTGTGATCAAATAAAATTCAAAAGGCTTTTTTAAAGGCAAAATGCACTCTGTGTTACTTCTTAAATGTGCTGTTGTATAAAAGGACTACATTACTTTTGCAATTGGATGGGTGCAGAAAAGCAAATTTAACAGTGCTTTCATCAGTGGACACAAGTGGATGTCAGTATTTGCAGCCTGTGATGATCATTACAGTGATTGTGAATTACTGCAGAGGCTGCAAATTCTCAACAAGCACGTAACGCTGGAATAGATCAGAATAAAAACTTGTGTGTAGGGGTAATGTTGCATAAAATTATCACTTTTCCAGCATGCAAAATATGGCATTTAACATTGAAGATTATTTATATCTTAACTCACAACAACAAAAAGTACAAGAGTACAGAAATCATGAAAAAAAAACAAAACCACTGTGGAGGGCAGAATCAATACATGTCCTAGCTTTTCAGGAAGCTACATACCTTCAGTAATCTCCTAAACAAGACCGCAGCCCTGGCACTGGACTGGAAAAAGTCTGGGTCAAAAGCAAACTCTGATGGTGTTGTTTGTTTTGCATCACCCTTTTGTGAACACCTATTTATTTATGTGCATCCAGATTAGCTTTTTATTGAGTTCTCTTGCAGAGCAGAGCAAAGTTTATCAAGTAATTGTTGAAAATAAATGTATTTGAATAGGAATTTAGGTATGTGGACTGCTGCCACCACACTATTAAAGCCTCCTGACCATGTTGTTTCTATAGTTTCTACCGACAGTGGGCTCTATTTCTATTCCCATCCACGTCGTACACATGTGCACACCTGTTACATTTGCATACAACATTATATATTTTTACTTTTTGATAGATAGATTTTGTACAGATATTTGTTCCTTTCTCATGCACCTGTTTTAGTCTTGCTTATGTCCTGTGATTGTCTTCAGCTCTCTACCTCTTGCTTGAAAGGGTGCGCTATGATTAAACTAAACTACTATAATTTATTATCAAATTTCAGCAATAGTATGAAAAATTTAGATACATGACAAACAATTGTCCTACCAATAAGAACAGACATTGTACATTATTTATACTTTAATAGTATTTATCCCCTTTTCCATTGTATCTTGTTAGGAAATGGAAAACTTAATTTTTGTAGCCTATATGCCAAGGACACAAGAGGCGGAAGCGCCGCAGATTGTCCCGAAGCTTCCTACCGGCACCCATGTTAACCAATTAGGATGTTCCGCGGCTGGCTTGCAATCTGCAGCAGCAGGCGTGTTCTATTTTTTCCATGTGCCACTGGCAGAGACACACATTTGGAGCAATTTATATTAATTACATGTGTTCTAAGCAAGTTCAAAAACCTTTTAGAATGCTTTTACCAGACAAACTTTCTGCTTTGTTTGTTTAGAAAACAAATTGCCATTTTGGTTTGATCCAATCATTTATCATAAAAATGTGCTGTGTTGAAAGTTGATATTTTCTACATGCATCTCCCCTTTGACTGAATGCCTGCTATTGATAATGCATTAAACCTTTAAAACTCTTTGCACTTTTAGTTAAGTGTGTTTTTAACACCAGTAGTTTTACTCACAGTTCTACTGTACTGTACTAAAGATTTTTAGGTAACACTTTATTTGGATAGTTTATAGTATTTCTAACATTTGTTTTCTCTGTAGATGTTTAACAGATTATCTAATGAGCATACAATTCCTGAACATACCTTTACCAAGATGTTTTTTTAAAAATGTTGCAAATACCCAATAAACTGTACTACGATCCAAATAATGTGGAACAGATTTTTAGTACTCTTTTCAACACTGCTATTATTGGCTGAATTAAAATAAGCTACCTCAGATAAAGCAGAAGAACATGGTATGCTGCCATAGTCAGAAACTATTAAATGTGATCTGAAATTAAAATTGTGTAATTTGATTATTCAATCAACACTTCCAAATATTTGCTTCAGTTTGTCTTCATTTATTTCAACCTTCTTCTATATCTATTTTAGGGCTTGACAGCTCATTTTGTTGTAGAAAAAACCTCAATGGCTACTCTAGACTGGAGTGCTTGTCATTGTCTATGGGCTGATTTTTGTGTCAGTAGAAACTGAATTTGAATCATTTAGAACTGAATTTGAATTGCATAATTTGAATTTGTATTGTTTAACTTGAATAACTGAAAGTGAAAGTACATAAAAAGTTGAATTTTTAGTGAGGCTCAAATAAAGTTTCAGTTGCAAGTGAATTCAGATTCATAATATTATATTCAGTTTCAAGTTTATTGGAATTCAGTTTCAAACTAATAAATTCAAATTCAAATTATGCAATTCAAATTCAGTTTTTCAATGCAATTATTCAAGTTGAGCAATTCAGATTCAGTTCTAAATGATTCAAATTCAGTTTCTACTGACACAAAAATCAGCCCATACTTGTCTGACAGAAAATCAGAAAGTCTGAAAGTTGAGCATTCAAAGAAAGTTAGATAGTACATGTAACTCAATTACTCAGTTAATTAAACTTTTTATCAATGATTCAACATGTTCATGCATTTGTGCTCTCTCTTTGGTTGGCTTTGATTGCCAAAACTGTAATGAAGTGTGACTTCATGAATAAGGCAAGTAGTATATAGGGAAAATAACAAAGTAAAGTAACACAATTACTTTTCATAATGGCTGTTTATTTCAAAGTATTTCCTTTCCTGTGTTTGCACTGTGCGCCCTGTCAGCTGTGCCACCCACCTTCCACTCACTTGTCACTTGCCCTCTGTGCCCACAGGAATAGCTCAGTTGACTCAAGGAATGTAGGAGGGGTGTCTGTCACAAAGCAACTGTGCAGCTTTTTACAAAAGTTGTGGGAAGACAAAATGCGCACATTTAATCAAATGTGTTAATTCCCACCCTGCACCACAACTAGGGTTGAAGCTCCATTGATTATTTGGGTAATCGTATAAGAAAATTGTGCTATAAAAGCAGTAGTAGGAATAGTAAATATGCAAATACAGTGTTTCAGTGTTTTCTCTTGGATTTTTTCAACAGCAGAGGGAAAGACTTATGTTGTGTTTGCTATCAATTGGTGCTGACTGTGGACAGCTAGTTTGCATCTATGAGTGAGAATTGAAATAGCCTAAACTGAAGGTAAAAAGCTTCAAAGCTGCAGAGCTGCTAGCATAACACAACAAGCTGATGTCTGATGCCACTAAACATCTTTATGGTGTTCTGCAGATTGTGACTATTGTACAACTTCAGAAATTAAAAAAACACAACAAAAATTATTGTTTCGTTTGGGGAGCCCAACCTAGATTTGGCAACATAAATGTTGAATATTTATCTCTTAAGAAATAAAAAAAAAAACATATACTTACTCATCATCCATTCATTGGCCTGTAATCAAACTGTTTGGATGAACAGCTGGCCAGATCCTCCTCTGATGTAATCAGAGATTCAATCATTTTCAGATTAGACTAGTGGTGTGATGCTTACAGAGTACAATTGAAAAACTGTGCATATGGAGACCAAGTATAAAACATGTCTGCACATTATTCCTTACTATTGAGTTGTACATGCTATACACTTTTTTGTGCATTTTAACTAATCATAGCTTCCTTATCTGTACAGAATAAATTATCATTCAGAGGTTAATTATTTGCCTCATGCCTGATGCTTTGAACAGGCCACTCGAGGAGGCAGAATTTTTAGTTGCCAAAATAAAACACTTTAAATGGGTGGAAATGAAGTGCTGGAGCAGGGCCTGAGTGCTGATGAGATGCTTGAGAGAGAAGGCCAGCAGTTTTCATGGCTGTACAAGGATGACTATAGGAACTTTTCACAAAAACAAGGTTATAAAAACATGTTCTAAATCTCTGAAAGGCTATGTCCTTATTAATCAATTAAACTTTATCAACCTGTGTGATGATTTCTCACATCACAGTGGTCAGTTTGTTTGCTCTCTAGTCTTTTTGCTAATTATTTAAATTTAGTGATGTCCCGATCAAGATTTTTTGCCCCCGATCTGACCCATTTAATATTGAGTATCTGCTATAAGCTCCTATGCTAGTGGTGTAAACAAAACTCCCCGGTACTTTGAGCTCTAGTCACCTAACAGGACCCCTAACTAGGTAGTTACAGCAGCTGGTACAGTTAGCACATGCAGCAGTGCAGAGAAAAGGGCCATGTTGCAAGAATCCCTGATGTCCCGGTGTCAAGGCACAGCTCCCATTTGACGCTGTTTTTAATTTTCTGCAAATAGCCAACTAATGAATGAGTGTCCTGTCAACTAAGACTTATCTGAGATGCTGGTGCTCTAGTGCAACATCCAGTGGCAAATAGTTTTTTTAACCTGTAGACAGTTAAATTACAGTATTCATGTCACACTGTATTCTAAATATGCTGATGTTGGGACAGTGGGGACCTTTAAATGTGAACCTGTTCATTTTGTATGATTTACTTGAACTTTTATTGTGACGGGTCACTTCTTGTCAACTCTCATCTGGTCCCTGTGACCATAATCTGATACCACTTGATGACACAGTGTTCAGGTAACAAAACTCCTCGGCATTCCTGTTGTTTACTCTCTTTTCTCTTTTCACTCTTCCCTCTGTTCTCTTCACTCACCCACACCGGGTGAAGAGATCTCAGACCTCAGTGTGGCCAGGCCCGCCGACAAACTCACAACAAAGGATTAAAGTGTGGCACAGGAGCCTGCCTTTTCCTTGAGATTCTAGGTCAGCGCAACGCGAGTAAACAACTCAGGTCAGCATCTGCAGCTTTAAACAGAGAGTCTGCCAGCTGACTCTACAGGAGTGACACAAAGGAAAGTTAAAGGGACACTTCACCCATTTGCATTAAGCTTTGTATCATTAGAACCCCAGTCATATTTTTTAATGGTCGTGCATCATTCCCTCACTTTCCCTGAGAGGGGAGAAATAAGGATTTTAGTGTTGCACTTCCTGCTTCCAATGATGTAAAAATCGTCATTTTGCGTCATTGGAAGCAGGAAGTCTCATATCTCTGTAGAGGGAGTGAGACTACAAACACTACTTCCTCATTTTTTTTTCACTCACGTTACAGACCTATTACAGATCAGTGGGTAGGACTTCACCTGCAGAAACTAAAAAATATAACCGCCATCTTGTTTGGAAGCTAAGCGGAGGCGCTGACGAGCCAGACGTTACGACTATGTTAATCAATGTAATATGGAAGAAATTCGAAAGTATGATGGTCGAATCAGATGTTCGTGGCTACCTCTATGAGCCGCAATATAGCGAAGAGCAGCTGAGGCTTCTGCAGCCGAGGCAGAGGACCTGCCTGTCGCGGACGAGGAGCCCGGACTGGCTCGAGCTGGGGTGGACTGCTGGTGCCTGTGCTCTCGCTGTGCGCCTACGGACACACGGACGTCTGACTGTAAAGTGAGTGTTTCTATTTTCTGTCTTATAACAACGTGGCATACACAATTTGTTCAAGCATTATCACAAAGTTATTCCCGGTTAATACGTAATGTCAGCCAACTGAACTAACTTCTTTACTGCACAAACAGCTTGCAGTTGCATTACTAACAACTGTGGCACGCTAAACACAAAGACCATGCATCGCTAACTGTGTGCTCAATGTCTTGTAGACAATATCGCCTAACAGCCCTTCTGGAATGGGTCCTGCAAGGCGAGAGATTGGGTCGAGGCCATCGTGTCGTTTTACCCGCTTATGTGGTGCAGGCTATCCGACAGAAATATCCAGCTCCAGATGGCCAGTACTGCGGGCACCAAGAAGTTGAGGAGGAACTATAACTGTCAATGTTAACATATTTATTTTTGTTGTTGTTGATATATTTCTGTAAATAAATGGTTTAGATTCACATTGTTATAGTCCTTGATAGTGTTAGTGGGAGCGGCTTGCGGAGCTGTGCATTGTAGGAGTTGTTGTCTTTTATACAAATGCGCCCTAAAGTCACTTTCTGTCTTTTCTTGGTCAAATAGGCACCAAATTCAAAATATTTAAATATTTTATTTACATTTCGACTACATATATAACCCACTTTCAATAAATATTAATGTTTCCACGGGTGAAATGCTCCTTTAACGCCGAGCCTTAACACCGTACAGCAGCGACATTTTGGAAGAAAACATTTTTCCCAGCGTGGCGATCCACGACATGGCACACCAACAACTCTTCCTCTTCCTCCCCCTCCTTTCAAGGACAGCTAAACACAAGACTGTTACTTCTGTTAATGTTAATGTACTGATACGTCTTCATTACGGTTATGATATTGTGACGTTGATATGATTAACTTGGTTATGGCTGTAACTTTATTCTTTGAGACACTGCTACGGTGATGTTTTCAAATCCTTCCACTTAAGTTACTGATGAAGATATGGTGGTTTTGGTAGTAATTATTAATTTAATTATTAATCTGATTTCAAAATTGATAGTTTTGTGTATTTTATGATACTGAAAAAAAAAATTATTGGCTATCGTTTCCCTTCTTTAAGGGTAGTGCCCCAAGGATCTTTAATGTTAAAGTCAATATTTATTATATTTGATAATTACCACCACTGTGTTTATTATAGCACCTTCACAGAACATGGTATTCTTCTAAGAATGTGCATTTGCACATAATTCATTATGTTGCTTTGGAACCATTATTTTTGCTGTAGCCTTCTGTGTCAGGACCCCTTCTTGAAGTATTAATGTTAGTCTACACACAGCCTAACCCCCATTCTCTTCATCCATGGATTCCAGCTGGAGACACAGATAAATGTTAATGTATGTTCTTCACTAGGACTGTCTCATTTTTCTACTAGCAGAATCTCATGCCAGTAGAGTCATTTAAAACACGCTGTAATCACCTAAGAATTCGGCACATTGAGGCTTTAACGAGGAGGTGGTTAAAGTGCAGAAGTTGTCAGTCGACTGTTAACCTCCTTTTTCCAACTACAGCGCTGCAAGTAATGGAGACATTCAGAAGATCTAAAAAGCTAAAAAAGAGAGATGAGTGAGAGAAAGGTTTGAATGAATGAGTGACACATCTTAATGAAAGACCTAGAAACATTTTTCACTTTTTGTTTAACTTTCAAAGTGTCTTTCAAACCTTGTCTTTGGGTTCAAAGCTGATTTTTTTTCACAGCCTTGGCTCTGGGCCAAGGTGTTCACATCCTTAACGTTTGCCATTTGTAAGTTAAAAAGACAAAAAAGTTGAGCCTTTGCAGTTTACACAGTCATGCAAAGTGCCTGCATCAGTGTGTGTTAAGCATACGTTGCATACTATGCATGTGTGTGAGGATGTGTCCTTTTAAGTTGCTGTTAAACAACATTTGTGCGCAAAATTTATGAGAAACAACCATGACCTGAATGTCGTAAACAGCAATAATCTTGCCTTGAAGGTTAATGGCAGTGATAAATATTTACCCCAAAAAGTGTTTCAGCTGGGAGTTAAAATATGGCACTATGCACCTTGGATTATTTTCCACACGGCTGCACATTCTGATCATTAACATGAAGAGAAGACAGTTCATCCATGATAAATTCATGCATTTTGACAGCAATGAACTTCTGCAATATAATGGTTCATGTCCCACTGACTACCCAGATCCAAAAACATGGCTTGTGTAATGCGTCATAACTTGGGTGTGTGGTTGCATTAAACAACTGAGTTATAAGATGGACAAGTGTCTTGAGGGATTTTTCATTTTTATTTTCACTTTAGTGAGATGATTCGCGCTAAGAAAACATGCACGCTGGTGTCAAGTATGTTTTGCCAAGTATGTTTGTTTGTGAAATGCTATTTCACAAATGATGTGTGCATAGTTTAGAAGGCTCTCTCTTATTACTGAATGATGAGAACTACATTGATGTTTCCACTGTTGCAGTCTTTTGCTTTAAAGCTGTTATTTAAAGCATTACAGATCTTTAAAGAGAGTGTCCCCCCTTGATTAACTGACCAGCTGCAACTTTGTTTTTACTCTTGCCACTTTAGGACACTGCAGTCAGCTGATTTTAGTGAAAAAGCTGTAAAAGCTCTGCACCCGCTCAGCAATAATGGGCCTACAGACAGTCAGCGACTAGCTGGTGATCATATTGGAGCCTTTAGCAGCTAAAGAGACAAATACTGATAAACATCAAAATTAAGCACCGCACACTGGAATGACTTAATTTTGATTTATTTAGTAGCCAACAACGCGTTTCGCCTGCAGCTTCTTCAGGTTCGCTCAGCAAAACTTAATATTGTCCTTGTTTGTAGAGACCAAAACCCATTTAAAAGGAGAGTAAACAATCCACTTACATTGACCAGGTGGACAAAAACAGGACTCCAAATGAATGATGATGTTGCTCTGTAACTGCTGGATGTGTAAATAAGCATTGGTTTGCTAACAACTTAGCCATATTATGTTAAAAAGGTCATGATAATATGTCAGTGTTGTGGTCACAAGTGGGGGACCCAAAATCAGTGACTGCAGGTTTAAAAAAAACATTGTTTTTGACTCTAAGGGAAAAACTGCAGTAAGTATAAGATGTAATGGATGAGCTGTTGTGAAATGATGCAGCATAAACTGAGGGATTACTGTTGGATGAAATGTTTCACAGTGCAGTTTTACCATAAATTGTTAGTACAGTGTGTATGTTTGCAGGTATTTCAAGCTGACTGCCAAGGATGCTTCAGAGAAATGAAAACTGCCACTACAATTACAACAAAATAATCCAATATTATTGTCAAATTAATAATGATCAATTATGTTTCAGTTATTGCATTGTTTGGTCATTTAAGCCTGTCACAGAACAAAATGTTTGCAAGTAGCACTTAATATCCATGCTGCTAACAATCTGTTACTGAAATCAGCATCATTTTGTCAGTAGTCTACAATTTGATTTAACCATTGCAATTAATAGACTATCCTATTATTATCCTTCTATGCTTACATTTATTTAAAAAACCAAATCGCAAAAAATGAACTATAATTGCTCCCTTTTCCGCCTCACTTATATGCTCTGGACACTGCAAGAACTAACACACAGTATTTACAGCTAAATGCCTGCAAATGCGATGGTATGATACAATACCAAGGCTTTTTGGTTGGGTCTTGGTTGTTACAAGATATAACCATAATGCGTTATTATTTTGAACCAGGGAGCAACCATGTTGGCTGGTAACACCCTTCTTCTACAACTTTAATCAGGGCATCATGTTTAAATCAAGTATAATAGTATAAGTAAGACCTGTGGTCCCAACACATTCAAAGTGGCACTGGGCTCAACAGGCCCACATCGACAACAGTTCCTGATCAAGGCCGAGCACTCTACAGAACAAGAATTTACTTTTCGGCATAAAAAAAAAAATGCATATATGGAAACAAAAATAAATGGTAATGCACTTGGGAGAGGCAATACAAAGAGAAATCTTCCCTCCTTGGACAAGCAATGCTGTAGGTAGGAAAAAGGCAATTATTAAAAAAAATAGAACAATAGAACTAGATTATAACAGTGTTATAGTAAATCTAATTTAGATATACAAAGACTAAGTCCAAAAAGTCCAATAAAATAATTCCACTTTCCACTTCAACTAAGTGGAAAAAAAGCTCTATTTGCTTAGGTTTTTGTCCTATTCTTGTGACAATGAGGATGCCTTATAACATGCCCATGCTTAGAAAATACTTACTAACTAAATTATTTAATTTAAAACAGTAGGTCAACAGCAGTTCTGGGTATCAAACCTCAATATTTTCTTGGTATAGTACCTATCAAAATATGTCTGTAGCGACATGTGTAGAAAAATGTTCAAGTATAGAAAGTTTGCATTGTATGCTTGATCAGAATCATAGTCTAGCTCATTATATAGTTTCCAGTTTAAATTATAATTATTACAGTGTAGACCATATTGTGTTTAGACAAAACTTGTATTTCTCCAATGTTTTCCTGTAAAAGCTTTTTTCTATTAAACAAAATATGCAAAATTTCTCAAAGTATAAAACGTTTCGTTTTGGAATCAAAACCCAAACTCGGGTATTGTATTGACAAGAGTAACAAACATGTTACAGGGGAAAAAACTGTATGGATCATGCTGTCTTAAATTGCATTCATAATAGTTAAATTTACCGTGTTGAGATCTACATAAACCCTGCCTTCCCTCCCTCCCTGTAGTCGGACCTGACATATTGGAAAATCCCTTGTGTAATGTCAGTGGGGGTTCCCTTCAGGAGAACTATGTCACACATATCCGTGTACACATCTGTTCGGATGTGGAGGAATGTGATAAACCGCATGGGGAATGGAACAAAAGAAAGGTGTCTGCAGCTGCAGGACGCAGAGCTCCAGAGAGGAGACACACAGGAAAACATGCATGCTGTATCTGTTTGTGCACGAGGTGATGGGTGCAGTCTCACCCGGGCTGGGTTTAGTGGTTATAGTGAAGAGTACAGCAATGCACAATAATGCTGTAAAGTTAAGGATGACGTCACTAGGGGTATTTTTTTTTTTAGCATTGCTGTACGTCGGTATTAGAGCTTACCGATAAACTGTATTCTCCTCGTCATTGCAATATGAATATAGACAAAGACTGCCTGAAATACAATGAATAAGAAAAATAATTTTATTTACAAAACAGAAATCCATTATTAAATGGACCCTGGAGCTAAAAACCATAGTGTTTATTATCATGCTGTAGCCTTTCTGGCTGAGCTCACACACACACACACACACACACACACACACACACACACACACACACACACACACACACACACACACACACATATAAACAGAGACAAGTCAGTGGATACTGATCTGATAGGCCGTGCTGGTGAAGTCAACTCAAAAATTACTCAAGTTGAGGACAACTACGCTTATAACTAGATGTAAGTGCAC